CAACGATTCCCATACCGTCGCCCCACTCTCCTGAGTTTTTAGATGAGGCCTGCGGTGTCCCTCCCCGCCAGATCCACATCTCCTGCTCCAGAATGTTGCAGCCTAAGCTCGACCATGTATCCTGGGGAGCCCAACGAGCATTTGGCCAAGAATAGGTTTATCATGGCCTCTCCGACGGATGTTAATGAGGTGGCTGCCATTCGCCCCGACCTATCGATCCCGGAGCAACACCTCGCCACGGAAGCCGGTGAAGACGTTGACTACGTTGCCATGCCGAAGGCTTCACGTCAGCGGGCTAGCGTATTACTGTATCTCGGGAAAGCTGGCTATGACATCAAGCTCGTCCACAATGACGGCTTCACGCGGGCCATGTCACAGGTTAAGTGGTCCATCCTCAACCCCTCTGGTTCAACCGTCGTCGATCTCTTCGATGGCCCTGCCACTGATCTCCTCCGCCACGCGGTCAAGGATTTGCGATCCTTGTACGCCATCGAGCCCATTTTGTCATTTCTGAAGGACACGTTCTACAGCGGCAGCTTGGGATCCTCAATTGGCAAGTCAGATCTCATCGACCACGACCACGAGGAGGGCATCCACAAAGGTTCTTCCAAGGTGAAACAACCCATCTGTGACATCAGAGAGCGCACCATGGGTTTGTGCTCGTCCAACTGGAAGGATCCCGTCCATGACATGTGAGGCAACATCCTATCAGCAAATCTTACCTTTTCTAGCTTGCCAACCCGTACCCTTTGTTGTAGTAGTATTTGCCATGCGGTGTTTCAACTGTGCCGTGTTTAATCATTTCAGTTATGCAAAAATGTATTGTTCAATAGGGCTATGTGATGTTTAAGTATAAATTGTCCACTTCAGTTTCACGAATGGCTAGATTTGGTTGTTTATAGTGAGTAGATGCCTTGTTTATGTGTATTTGATTGTTAGGTTGGTTGCAGTGAGCATTTTTCCAGTTATCAAGCAGATGTCTTGTTTATATGTATTTGGTTCTTAGGTTGGTTGCAGTGAGCATTTGTCCAGTTATCAAGCAGATGCCTTGTTTAACTGTATTAGGTTGTTATAAGTTGGTTGCAGTGAGCATTTGTCCAATTTTCAAGCAGATGCCTTGTTTATCTGTATTTGCTTCTTAGGTTGGTTGAAGTGAGCATTTGTCCAGTTTTCATGCATATACCCTGTTTATCTGTATTTGCTTGTTAGGTTGGTTGCAGTGAGACTCTATCCAGTTTTCAACGGCTATATTTAGTTGTTATACTGATCATTTATGCCTTGTTTATTTCAGTCATTCACAATGTGATGTTCATTATGTGCAAGTCGGAATTGTGCCGCTTGATTGCATCAATACCAGTTTGAACGGCTATATTTAGTTCCAGTTATGTCTGGTGTAGTTAACACATGCCCTTTATTTCAGTTTTACACATTTATCCAGTGTGATGTTTTAGCATTACTTGTGTTCTATTCATTTTCAATAATACCAGTTTGAATTGCAATATTTGATGGTTGTTAAGTCTGTTGTAGGTAACATTGTCTTCCATTTTATATCTGCTTTAACAGCATGCTAAAACCAACACATTCAGGCTATCATTTGGAGATGATGTTGTTTACCTTTGCTATATTTGTTTGATGTTAAGGTTGTTGTACTTATCATGCCTTTCCACTACTTATGCAGGACAACAACGAGAGTTGCCACCATTTTCCGCTGAGGTTAGTTTTATCCCTCGGCTTGTACTCCCCCCGTCGTTCCATAATGTAGTGCATATAGATCTAGGCCTGGACACTTGTTAGCTTCTAATATTGACTTGTTGCTTGTAGGTACATATGCCCTTGGCAAGGATCCGTGCATCGACCCTTTTTGCGTATGGGGCAATGAGATATTCATGAACAAGCATCAAGTGAGGAAACTTGATAAGGATTATTAGCAAAAAGATACGAACGGTGACAAGCAAATTATTTGTTTATGCTCTATCCAACACAATAGTGAGCTGTAGGATGGTAACTACAAACTCTGCAGTCTTCTCCTTTTACTGCCCATAATGAGTTGTTAGACAACAATGTCTGAATCTTTTTCATTCGCAGTGGTTCTCGAAGCAGTTCACTCAAGATTACCTCGCAAAGTACATGGTTGGTGGACACGCAATGAAGGTTAAAGTATTTCATCCAGACTACAATGAGCATCGAGAAGTCCTAATGAAGAAAGTGAAGGATGGATGGGCAGCCATCACAAGGGGTTGGCCTAGAGTCTTGCGCATTACGCATGGAGGAGGGCACAATATGGGCATTTCGCTTCACCTTCTCCAACAACCAGAATGTCTTTCTCCTCTCTTTACAGTCTTTAGTATAACTGTGGTTCATCATTCTTTACTTGGTGATTTTGTAGTTCTTCAGTATATGTACATGTGCATCGAATTATGCATTCGTGGTTGAACCTATATTTCTAATAAACATGGTTGGATATGAAATAAGTGATTGCCTACTTTCAAATTTAAAACATGTGATTTTTAAATTAGGGATTAATTAGGGATTACACTGCACGCGGTTTGCAAAAGCGAAATGTCTGCGATAGACGTGGAGATCGGACACGTTTCTTGGATCCACTACATGTGCGATCAATCTCTACTGCTGCACACACGATCAGCCAAGAAAAAACGTAGCGATTAACAACAACATCGCACACAATTTTTTCTTATTAAATGTTTGTGAAAGTCACCTTATCACACACGCTTCGCAATTATGGACTGTTTATGATGTTGTGCGCATCGCAAATGTTTGTTCATAGAAGAACGTGTGCGATAGGTCTTCATCCGACGCCGGTACGACGGATGAATCGTGCGGGATGTATTCAAGCTTCACATACAGTCTCATAAGGACAACTGTATGCGCTCTTACATCGAATCGCATACAGTCGAGGAAAAGTAAATGCGTGTGATTGTCTGCTTCTATAATCGTGAACTATTTGTGATGGGTCGCGTATCGTAAACGTAGCACCACAGAATTACGACTGCGATGGCAATACGAGTAAAAACGAGTTGCAAGGATGGAGCGTTTGAGATATTCGAGATATCAGAAACAGTTTTATAGGGACAACTGTATACATCATGGCTTCCCCGACGGTTTTTGGGTCGTGTGGGAAGGATCCCCTTATGGCAGTCACTCACTTGGCAACGGTTCAAAATGTCGTCGCGGAAAGGGGTTCAAAACCGTGTGTATAGCACCTCGTTGTACCAGTGTTACCCTCATCAAGGACATGTACGACAATGTTGTGACAAGTGTTCGAACAAGTGATAGTGACACTGACGACTTCCCGATTAAAATAGGATTTCATTAGGGGTCAGCTTTGAGCCCTTATCTTTTTGCTTTGGTGATGGATGAGGTCACGAGGAGTATACAAGGAGATATACCACGGTGTATGCTCTTTTGCGGATGATGTGGTGCTAGTCGATGATAGTCGGACGAGGGTCGGTAGGAAGTTAGAGTTATGAAGACAAACCTTGAAATCGAACAGTTTTAGATTTAGTAGAACTAAAACCAAGTAAATGAGGTGCACTTTCAGTGCAACTAGGCACGAGGAGGAGGTTGGCCTTGATGGGCAGGTGGTGCCTCCGAAGGACACCTTTCGGTATTTGGGGTCAGTGCTGCAGAACGATGGGGAAAGCATCAAATCAAAGCCAGATGGATGAAGTGGTGTCAAGCTTCTGGCATTCTCTGTGACAAGAGAGTGCCCCAAAAGCTAAAAGGCAAGTTCAATAGGAAGGCGGTTCGACCTGCAATGTTGGATGCCGCTGAGTGTTGATCGACTAAAAGGCGACATCTTCAATAGTTAGGTGCGATGAAGATGCGCATGTTAAGGTGGATGTGTGGCCACACAAGGAGGGAGCGAGTCCGGAATGGTGATATATGAGATAGAGTTGGGATAGCACGGATTGAAGAGAAGCTTGTCCAACATCATTTGGCATGGTTTGGGCATATTCAGCACAGGCCTCCAGAAGCGTCGGTGCATAGCGGACGGCTAAAGAGAGGTCGGGGTAGACCAAACTTACATGGGAGGAGTCCGTAAAAAGAGATCGGTAGGACTAGGATATCACCAAAGAACTTTCCATGGACAAGGGCGGGTGGAAGTTGCTATCCATGTGACAGATCTTATGAGTTTCACCTCTAGTCTACCCCAACTCATTTGGGACTAAAGACTTCTTTGTTGTTGTTGGGCGCAAGATTTGGGAGAGGAAATGGTAGAGGTTGTTGTTGTCAGGCGCAAGATTTGGGAGAGGAAAGGGTAGAGTGAAGATTGTATGCAACTGGTGGGCAGGTGTTCGCAGCATGTCCAGTAGACACAAACCTAGTCAAATTTTGGGCTGGAATGGATCAAAGTAGACAGCAAAACAGACATCAGTCTGTGTCACCACGTTAGGCCATGATTTTTGTCCATGCAAACAAAGGCAGAAGAAGTGTGCCGACCCATTGGAGGCACAACGAAGCATGCGTCCCCTTCTAGTTTTATTTACAAGCGACAAGCTTGTTTATACGTTGAAAAAAAGACAATGTTACTGCACAAGGACTATTTGTGAGTTATATCTCTCAGTTGACCAATTTGTCATAGAAAGGTTACAGCATCGGCTGGAGACGTAGAACATATAGGTACCCAAATATTAAGACCAACCAAGGCTTCAGGACAGGAAGCACATAACACAAGGGCAACCGAGGGAGGAGTAATATCCATTGCCACTGCGATCATTTCAGCATGTCTTAGCCCACATAGGGCACAATAACGAAACACTGATCCCACATTCTACGGCCACTGCAATACCAAGTTCCCACACAAAATAAGCCATAAACTTCAATTGCAAAAGGAGGGCATCCATACATTAATGCCACGCCAGATTCAAGCAATTTTCTGGGCAATGTCCTTGATAACCTTGTCCATGTCGAGCTCCTTCATCTTTTTGAAGGGCCGTGGCATGTTCTGCATGTCAATTTTCAGCATTAAAAATATTTGGAGTGTCATCAAGCTGTGCAACAAGTTTAGGTTCTCTAAGTTGTTGGCTAGTATGAAACCATCAAACTGGAACAAACCAAGAATTTGGATTATAGTTAGAAAGCTTTCCCAGGAAAATAAGGTTCTTTGTTATCTGATCAGTGTAGTATGGTTCAGAAATTAACCCAGAGACAGTTAAGATTACCAGCAGTGAAATGAACACATCACCACCTTCCTCCCGTATCTCAAGGCATCCACGGCGTGGCTGAAAAAAGACAGAAAGATATGGCAATTCAGCTGTAGATATACACAAAAAGATGCCAATTAAAAGATCAATATACACGAAAAATAGGCCAAAAAAGATGTGGCGAAGTTGATGATTGTGTAGATGAAACACAGTGAAGATACCTTTTCAGGGTTGATTGTCACAGAAACCCCAGGGACAGCACTTTCAAGATCCTCCTTCACCTTTAAAGCTCTTCTCTTGAACTGTTGGCACTGGGTGCTGGAGAGTTCAACAAACAAGCAATCAGTAAGAGGAAAGAACAACCATAACTGCAGAGCTTACTGAGTTTACAGTATTGAGCATACAGACAGCTGGAGAAGTCTTGCAGATTATTTAAATGACCAAGGATATTGAAGTGCATGCTTTGAGTCTAAGGTATGTTCAGATTAAATGTAACCATGTCAGAAATATTTTGAGTATCAAGGTAGAAAACAATGGCTTTTTAGTGGATGATACAGAACAATGGTTGCATCCAGCCAACTACAATTCACTACTCCAGTTTCCTACATAAGTAATCATAAGAAGAGAAATATCTCCAGGAAACAATAAAGAACAGGTTGTTTTGGGTGTAGTTGCCTTATATCAAATTACAGTAATGGAAACAAGATGCAGTTAAAGAGAGCGCGAATGGGGGTATTCTACCACCCTTGTTACTCAGAATCATTTAATCATTATATTGAAATTGGTGTGAAAGAAACAAAAGACTGTTGCCAGAAAGCCACCAAAGGAGAGGACTTTTTAGAACCAGAAAAAGACGATGGCATAACCTTCTTTCGGTACCAACTATTCAACAAGTCAACAAGTGTTGCAAAGATATGATTCTCCAAGCCAGCTTAATGGACGTATTTAATCTAACATGATGTTTGGATAGTGGTTAAGATGGCAACTGGCAGAATGAAACTTACATTTTCAGCTGATGTTTCACATTATTAACCACATTTTACAACAGTAACCTAATATATTCCGACTTGTGAATCATATTATATTTATTTACAAATTGGAACCTATTTGATCATGATCATGCACGATACATCCCATTTAAATCACACATCTTGATTTTTGCCATGGTTAACTACAGAGTGAATATGTGATGAAATTCAAGAAGAGTAGAAGTAGTTCCCGTGTGGAACCGTCTGCAAGCAGCAGCATATTTTAATAAAAAAGAAGTGGAAATAACAGATCTGCTGAATATCAGTCCGTTCATCTTACCCCTAAAATCAGTTTCAACCTTTTCCCCATCTAAAGTACGAAATAATAATCTTAAACAACACCTTTTTCATCCATTAATCGTACCGAAAGTCCCGTTAAATCCGACCATAAATCAGTTAAAATCGTCCATAATAATCACAAAAAGCAAAACCTAACTGTCACGTGCACCGGCGCAAGCACTTACCAAGCCTCGACGATGACGCGCTTCCCGCTTTCAGCGCCAGCACCGCTATCATCTACCGCGGCCGCCGCCACCTCCTTCTTGGCATTTTTCTTCACCTTCTGCTTGGCCGCTGCAGGAGGCGACAGTACCGTCTCCACCGCAGACACCTCCTTCTTGGCCTTCTTCCTGCCCTTCTCCCCGGCCGCCGCCGGCGCCGCCACTGCTTCCTCCTTTTTGGCCGGAGCGTCGGCGCCCCGCTTCCCGGCTGCCATGCTCCGGGTCATCCTAGGCGGCATTGCGGGGGCCGCCGCCGTCGCAACCGGGGACTTGCGCTTGGGAGGCATCGCTTGGTTAGTGGATTGTGGTGGGTGTTCGGCTCTTCGGTTTTCGCGGAGGAAAGAGATTGTATCTTATAGAAGAAGATGGTGGAGAATGTGAAAAGGGCGCGCGTGGGAGACAGTTTGCCGCCAATTGGGCAGTAGGGGCGGGAGATGAAGGAACATGGGCCGTTTCCACTCCACAACCCACGGCACGTTCATGTTTTGGCAATGACCACGAGTAGATCTTTCTTTTTTTCGAGCGCACGGACTTGCTTCCATTTTTTTCAAGAAACTTCAAATCTATTCATCTTTTATACAGTAATACAGCCAACACCAAAAATATTAAAAATTGCATCCAAAATTTATAGACCACCTAGCGACGACTACAAGCACTGAAGCAAGCCGGAGGTGCGCCGCCGTCATCACCCCTCCCTCGTCGGAGCTTGGCACACCTTGTTGTAGTAGACAGTCGGAAGGTCGTCATGATAAGGCAACATATGACCAACACACCAGAACAACAACCGCCGCCGTTGAAGAGAAGTTTAGATCAAAAGGATCCAACCTCCACACGCCCTCAGACGATGCTAGACGCACAACCGAGACGGGGGCTAGGCGGGGAGAACCTTATTCCATCTTCGACAAGCCGCCGTCGTCTCGTCTTTCTGAGCAGGACATAAACCCCAACAAGACTTGAAGAACCACCTAAAAACATAGCCCTTCCACTAGTTTATTTTCGCATCACCTCCAACCACTTTCTCCATGTTGGTTTTCATATCTACCAGTTTATTTTTCTCTTCACTCTTTCCTTGCAAATCGGCACTTTCTTAACGTGCAAAAGATCATGGATCTAACTTTCCTAACTTACCCAAAATCAACTGATCTCTCCCATCAATGCAAATTACTTTAGGAAACAAATTACATATTTTAAGGAAACAAATAAGAAATTTAAAAAAATAACATGTAAATCATTATGTACCCACTTAATTTGTTATGGAATAGTATCAAAATTATAGAGCATAATGAACATTCAATTTTTTAAGGAAACAAATCCTGAAATCTCTACTATTAAAGGGGAGTTGGAGATGGTACATCTAGCTCTCTGGCCACCGATTGAACGCCCCCTCGTCTCCCCCATCGATTTTCTCTCTTCCCTCATCGATTTATTTTCACCTATCACAAATTTTTGTCACGAACCCGAGGAGCAACCCACCCACCCCTCTCTGCCTCAAGCAATGCATGCACTACCATGAGTCCCGACCCCGCCGTGCCCTAGGGTTAGCCCGCCGCCCACCCTCACATCGCTACCTCCTGCAATGGCTATGAGGGGCGGCCGCGGGAGAGATTGCTCACGCGACATCATGGTGTCTCCCTGTGTCTTCCTCTGGACCGCGCCATACGGATTCTCCCGTGAGACCATACCGCATCGCCGACTCCTCACGCTGACGGCTTGCTCGCTCTAGACCGCCTCTCATCTGCGCCCCCACTGACCTACATTTTTAGAGAAAAGGTCGTGACTCGACTTTAAACACCAGGCAACCAAGTAGCACAGACAAATAGGTAGCACATCAGACACGACATCAACAAAGAAGTTTTAATCGGCCACAACCGGCAACATGGCACGCGGGCCAGCACACAAGAACCCCAAGAGTGGCACAACTAGAAGTCGACGAGGAGCACCAACTACTACAACCTGGCTCGATCTCCACCCAAGATGGTTATCGTCAAAGCACGCACACGGGAGATGAGGAGCTCCACATCCGCCTTGGCGCCCTCTTTAATCAGATATTTCCACTGCTGCAAAAAGATTAAAGTTTGAAAACACAATCAACCACCTTATTAGGGAACACTTGTTCGACTGTAAACTTGTTTCTGGTCGTCCACAGGGTCCAACACATGGCAGAGAAGCCAAACCAAAACAACCTCCTGAACTGCCCAGACAGGGGGGGGCACTAGCGCCCTCAGACCAGCAAAGTTAGAAGGAGCCCACGACACATCCAACCAATCCCTAAGACAGCTCCAAAACAACTGGGCCTGGGGGCACCGGAACAAATGTGACCTCCCACCACTTTCTCCATGTTGGTTTTCATATCTACCGGTTTATTTTTCTCTTCACTCTTTCCTTGCAAACCGGCACTTTCTTAACATGCAAAAGATCACGGATCTAACATTCCTAACTTAGGCAAATCAACTGATCTCTCCCATCAATGCAATTTACTTTAGGAAACAAATAACAAATTTTAAGAAGAATAACATGTAAATCATTATGTACCCACTTGATTTGTTATGGAATAGTATCGAAATTATAGAGCATAATGAACATTCAATTTTTTAAGGAAACAAATCCTGAAATCTCTACTATTAAAGGGGAGTTGGAGATGGTACATCTAGCTCTCTGGCCACCGATTGAACGCCCCCTCCTCTCCCCCATCGATTTTTCTCTCTTCCCTCATCGATTTATTTTCACCTATCACAAATTTTTGTCACGAACCGAGGAGTAGCCCACCCACCCCTCTCTCTGCCTCAAGCAACACATGCACTACCACGAGTCCCGAACCCGCCACGCCCTAGGGTTAGCCCGCTGCCCACCCTCACATCTCTACCTCCTGCAATGGCTATGAAGGGCGGTCGCGGGAGAGGTTGCTCACGCGACATCGTGGTGTCTCCCCGTGTCTTCCTCTAGACCGTGCCATACGGATTCTCCCGTGAAACCACACCGCACCACCGACTCCCCACTCCCGCGGCTTGCTCGCTCTAGACCGCCTCTCATCAGCGCCCCCACTGACCTACATTTTTAGAGAAAAGGCCGCAGCCCGACTTTAAATTAATAAAGACACCATGCAACCAAGTAGCACATACAGATAGGTAGCACATCAGACATGACATCAACAAAGAAGTTTTAATCAACCACAACCGACAACATGGCGCGCGGGCCAGCACACAAGAACCCCAAAATAGGCGCAACTAGAAGTCGACAAGGAGCACCAACTACTGCAACCTGTCTTGATCTCCACCCAAGATGGTTATCGTCGAAGCACGCACACAGGAGATGAGGAGCTCCACATCCGCCTTGTCGCCCTCACTGGTATACGTCGGTGCTATACAAACGGTTTTTAACCCCTTTCCGCAACGACATTTAGAACCATCGCCAAGTGAGTGTGGGCGATAGGTGGTCCTTCCCACACGACCCAGAAACCGTCGGGGATAGGGAGCCAAGATGCATATACGGTACTCCTACTCATTTGTGCTCGCATTACCATCGCAGTCGGTATTCTGTGGTTGTCGGTGTCAAAACCGGCGGATCTCGGGTAGGGGGTCCCAAACTGTGCGTCTAGGCGGATGGTAACAGGAGACGAGGGACACGATGTTTTTACCCAGGTTCGGGCCCTCTTGATGGAGGTAAAACCCTACGTCCTGCTTGATTAATATTGATGATGTGGGTTACAAGAGTAGATCTACCACGAGATCAAGGAGGCTAAACCCTAGAAGCTAGCCTATGGTATGATTGTTGTTCGTCCTACAGACTAAGGCCATCCGGTTTATATAGACACCGGAGAGGGCTAGGGTTACACAGAGTCGGTTACAAAGGTAGGAGGTCTACATATCCGTATCGCCAAGCTTGCCTTCCACGCCAAGGAAAGTCCCATCCGGACACGGGACGAAGTCTTCAATCTTGTATCTTCATAGTCTTGGAGTCCGGCCGATGATGATAGTTCAGCTATCCGGACACCCCCTAGTCCGGGACTCCCTCAGTAGCCCCTGAACCAGGCTTCAATGACGACGAGTCTGGCGCGCATGTTGTCTTCGGCATTGCAAGGCGGGTTCCTCCTCCGAATAATTTATAGAAGATTGTGAACACCAGGATAGTGTCCAGCTCTGCAAAATAAATTCCACATACAACCGTAGAGAGAATAATATTACACAAGTTCAATTGCTGACGTATTTTGTGGCGTAACATCACACCACTACCAAGCCTTCAAATTGTTTTTATTGTTCCATCTCAGCGCGTTTAGCGAGGCGGTTTCCTTGGCATGTCTTGTCGAAGCAGAGATCGTGTTCCCCTTATTCCGGGATTCCCATCAATACGGACATGGGTAACCCAACCGCGCCATCAATCGCGACGCTTGGGGGATAAGCAAGTTTTACCAGGCCGATGGGGACGCGTGTTTCCGTCCGCCCATATAAGGGGATAAAGATCCAACCTTTTTACCTGCGCCTTCTTCCTCCTTGGCTTATCCATCTCTGCGAACTTGAGCTCTAGCTCCCAAGCCCGCACATCTCACCTCAACCTTCTCCAAACATGTCCGGAGCAGGAGGCAAGTGGATGGCCTCCTCCGTCACGGAGGGGCATATCCAGAAGATGCACAGCGCCGGATACTTGTCCAGCGACATCGCGCATCGGCTCCCCGACGAGGGAGAGCTCATCCCCACCCCTAGGCCCCATGAGAGGGTAGTATTCCTTCCCCATTTCCTCCGCGGACTGGGCTTCCCACTTCATCCCTTTGTCCGGGGGCTCATGTTCTACTACGGCCTAGATTTCCATGATCTGGCCCCGAATTTTATCCTCAACATCTTGGCGTTTATCGTCGTGTGCGAGGCCTTCCTCTGCATCCAGCCCCACTTCGGCTTGTGGCTCAAGACCTTCAGTGTCAAGCCAAAGGTTGTGAAGGGCAGCCAAGCGGAGTGCGGAGGCGCCATGGTGGGCAGGATGTCCCACATTACGTGGCTGGAGGGTACTTTCGTGGAAACCATTAAGGGGTGGCAATCGGGGTGGTTCTACATCACTGAGCCGCGTGATCCCGAATGGGCAGCAGCCCCCGAATTCAGATCCGGCATCCCCACATGGCTCACCTCCTGGAAAGAGAGCGGCCAGATTTGGGGCGATTCGAAGGAGCTGACCGGACTCCAAGCCTGCGTCCAAAAGCTGGTGGACAAGAAGCTCAAGCTTGTCAACGTAGTCCAGGTCATGCTCATCCGCCAGATTCTCCCGTGCCAACGACGGGGCTTCGATATGTGGGAGTTCGATC